AACATATTAATTGAGACATTGCTTTAAACATTGAACCTTGGGTTGAGATTAGCCCCCTAACCTTAGCTAAATAGGTGACATTGGGGTAATCTATCATGGGGTAAAATTAGCTATGGGTTGAACACTGGATCTTGCTACATGTGTGAACACAGTAATACCACACACTCACTGAGTTAAGAGGATTTGTTTGTAGAGTCTTTTTAATTGTAGATATGCTCGTCTTAGGAATGATAACCTTCAGTTCTCTCAAAACGAAAAAAATATTGAAAGGTCAGGGCAGGATATCTACTTTTGATATATCATATTTTAAAACAAAAACATTATTTTTGATAATTCACAGATTTGAAAAATTACATGGGAATGCAATTTTAAGATTGGGATAGTCAATCAGGTACAATTATCTAACTCAATGGTTAGTATTAACACAGTCCCTCAACACCGGGACTGTGGTATTAATAAGGATAATAAACTTGTTGATATTGTTTTCAGACTGGAAAGTGGAGATTTCCTTGGTAAATTCAGTGTACATAATATCCTTTTCATCAGTGTAATAGCTACAGTCTGTAATAAAATGAACTTCGTCTTCAATACTATATGTATGTTTCATTAGAATTACAGTAATATGTCTGTGTTACATACATACCTCCTGGTTTAATATATCCACCAAGATGCACATCAACCGATACTGTATCATTGTATCATAACATTTCTCAATATCCAACTTTACAAAATAAAGTTCGCTACAAAAAAGACATCAGTGATATTGAATGAAAATTTGTGTCAAAAATATTTAATAGATTCTACATATTAACAACACCTGATCCACTTTTATATAATCATGATCATTTCAGATACTGAGATAACACATATTATATACACTTGACCAATCTTATATATGCAGATCTAACCATTTACATCTGAACAATTTTATAAAACCCCAATTTCACATCTGATCCACTCTTGTATACACCAGACCTCATTTAAATATACCTACAAGACACCTTCAATACTCCAATTCTCTTATATTCTACACACACAAAATTATTTCATACTGTATTTATAGATTAAACCAATAATCTATACCTGTAGTTTTTCTGTCTTGCGTTATTGACAAACTTTTTCCAAATGTCATAAACATCATGCATTCCAAATACAGCAGACCCAACGAGTTCGGGAGATTTTTTCTGAAAAGAAAAAATTTAATCTACTACTGTGCTAGCTATTACTACTATTGTGAGACGAGAGCATACAAGTGTCTTTTTTTGCACTTTGTTGAAAATTGGAGAGAATACAAACACTGTATTTGATCTATTTGAAGCACATCTTTAATGGAACATATATAAACTAAAAATACCCTTTTTTGTATAGTGAAAAATAATACTTATTTAACACCTCTGTGATTTACATATAGCACATATGAAGCGGTGACAAATCTTACCGTAACATATTTTAACGTCTCTAATGCAGCCTTCAAGTTGAAGTTTTTTGTTTTCACCTGAAAAATCAAATAAACATATTGTAATGATTTGTTGGCTGATCAATAAATTCTTTCTACATACCGTACTTGACCGGCTTAGCGTCCATGCTCGGCTAAGCGTCCACCCCCCCCTTTCGAGGCATTCAAATTTTCGGGTTCATGTTCAGCTAAGCGCCCATCTCCTTCAAAATGCCCCTAATTTAATTGTTTCAAACCACAAATAGAAATTGTATCAAGGTGTAATCCTCTCTATTTTGAAAAACATTTTCGGCAAGGGATGGCATAATTGTAACTTACCTTACACCTTATTTGTTAATAGAATTTTAGCGAAATCTAACTGGTTTCAAAATGGCGGATTGATATACACAACATATTTGATCTCAGTAAAAATGTTTGATTTGCAGCTTACTTGTGGGATTACAGACTTAGTGATTATCGGTCGTACACTTGATTTCTTTGGCAAAAATCTCAAGTTGTAGAAACCAAATTTTAAACTTTTTTCTTCACCAATATCATTTGGCAACTTTCGTAAAACTCCTCTCTCTACATAATCTGAAACAAAGCAAGCAAAGCAGTGTCTGATTGGCTAGACTGTTAGGTGAAAGGCTTGGTAACCAATCAGAGGCAATTTTAAAGTAACTTAAAATATGACTCTAAACAAGACATTGTCTGGTTGGCCATACTTATTACAATAACAGGTCATTATTAACAACACAGTTACTGTTGAAATTGTATTATGTATTTGATTTGAGAGCTCAAAGAATAGAGGAATAATGTTAAGAAAATTTGGCATGTAAATGAGACCAAATTGACAATTGAAAAATACTACAAAATGGTTGCCAGTTTGTTACTAAATTTCATTGAAACCCAAGGCAATTTTGTAATTTATAAGTTTTTCCTCACCTTTCATTCCCAAACGTTTCAAATCTTTCCACACCATTTTTCGATAAAAGAAGACATGATTTCTGTACACACTGGATTCTGTGATGTAAAACATTGACTGTAAATAGGAAGAACAGAATCAGATCACTACTTGAGAATGGAGGTCCACTAAAAGTGTCTACATATAAAATATCAAAGCAATTGGAATAACCATTTTTTTTAAAAATAGTGGAAATATCACTTTTTACAAATGACAAAATGCCAAAAATATTCATCAAAATGAAGAAATCATCTCAAATAAACAAAACTGAGAGAGGGTTACCTGAGGTACCTTCATTTCAAATATCAAAGCAATCAGACTTTGTAAGGTAATGTAGAGAATATCTCTTTTTAGCAAAAATAACAAAAATATACATCAAAATAAGAAATTTGAAATAAAAAAATATGGAGTTGATGATGACTGACAATCAGCATCATGATGCAGTTTTAATTTAGATTTAGATTAAAGATTATTCAATCCCACAAGATATACCGTATTATTAACATGTGCTTTTAAATACATACACTAAAGATTTATTGGAATCCACAAAATATACTTTGAAACAGAAAATATTTACCTCATTCCACCATAGGTGGCGCACATAACTGGTATGCAAAATTGAAAAAAAAAAAATGAAAAACAATTTTTTTAGCCTTAAGTTGGGATACATACTTTAAGAATGACCATTATTACATGAGTGAGTAACCACGTGAGCAGCTTCTGTACTATAAATTCTCTTTCCAATGACTCTTGTGGACTGACATGACTACTAGATGTCTTGCACCAATCAATATCAGATATTCGGATCTTGTACATCAGTTGCTTAGAACTGAATTTCTCATATCGCCCAAGATTGAGGAAATTCCTAACATCTATTATTTTATACATTAAGAAAATTGAAAATTGTTAATTTTGCAACAATAATCTCAGACTTACAGACGCAAGGTTACAAAACAAAGAATGTACACTACTATTGTGACAATTGACAAAAAACACAGGCTATACTTTTTTTACAATTATTAACAAGCACTGACGATATCTGTGTTCAGTACAAACAAATGTACATGTATATGTCTACCAAAAGGGCTCCATGCATCATCCGTGCAAAATAACACACACAGGCAGAGTAACTGCAATGATTCTTATAAGGTGGTCAAAAATATGCAAAATGTAGCACCAACACTTAAGGCAAAGTAAAATAATGACATTCAAAACTCAAAGATATGCTTGTGAATAATTTATACAAAAGGATACTCCTCAGGAATGCTTCCCTGTTGTGATTAGAGCCCCATAACTTCCTGGGAATAAGTTTGTAGACAACCGCTCTAATATAACAATATACATCATGTGATCTAGTGTATTTAGATAAAAGAATTCTGCATCGGATCTCTCTGTTCTGTGATTCTGTCAAGACAAAAATAAGTAAGGATTTATTTGAATGATTTATGTTTGTTTCTGCTTGGTGTTTCAAAATATTGGCTTCAGTGAAAAAAACAACAAAGTTCAATTCAAAATGAACTCTGAGATGTATAAGAAAGTTCTTTTCTGTAGAGTTTAGTTAAACAAAAAACGACTCTTTAATTTTATGCTTCACAACTACATCTGTAATATACATTTTAGCTACACAACATTTATGCTGACTTTTTTCATGTAAGTATGAAAAGAGCAGTAAATATACTATCATATCTCAATTGAACTGAATTTCAGTGAGATCCAGAATTGCAGAAATGCTTGATTTGATTAATTTTCGCACAAAAATGGCCACCATTCAGCCATCATTTATTAGATTGTGGAAGTGCATATGTAATGTATTTCATAATGTACGTGAGGTTCTAAGTTCTAATATTTGGACTTCCTCAAAATGGGGACTAAAATTACTTTTGTGATACCAAATGAGAAAAAACATATTTGTATAAAATAAATACCGGCAATATTTTAATAATTCACAATTTAGCAATTTTGTGATTTTGGTTATACACACATGCTTCATTTGGAGATGCACTTCTAATATAGCAAATGCAATGGTGAACAAGACATGTATTTATCAAACTACCCTCGATAATGCCAGCGATGACTTCAGTTTTATGGACTCTTTTAGCGAAAATGAAATTACAGATGTATCAGACAACGAGGATATCACAGCAGCTCTGCAGGTTTTTGTGGACAGCACAGATCCAGATCAGGACTTTGACAATGATTTTTAATTAACTAATCCAGTAATGAAATTTATCAGTGTGTTCTGAACATTTGTCATTAATTTCATTAGATTTTCACATTCTATCACATTGGTATTTATTTTCTGTGATTCGTCTGAATGAATTCTTGATTTTTTGACTATGTAAATGTCTTATTATGCAGACAGGAAAGAAATAGTGATTCCTAAGTTGTTATTCAATTAATAATGAATGAAATGCAGACTCTATCCCACCCCAAGCTATAATACTAGTACTGTTAATTTTTATGCCATAAATGTAACAAAGTTAATAGGCACTTGTTTTACATTTACTAATCGAGTTGACCTGCTTTTCTTTATATCCACGTAATTTCGTGATGGGTGTCCCACCGTCGCCATATTTTTTTTTTTTTTTTTTATTTGGTTATTTTTCCAGACAAGATGGGGTTGGTAATATCTGCCAAAAGATCGCCTGGGTGATCTTGAGGTCCACACATTTCTAAAAAAAAATCAAATCCTCCATGAGATCGCCCAGGGTGGGGTAATCAGCTGAATCCAGTATCAAGCAAATTGCTTGAAAGTGAACTTTGGTAGATCATTAGCTGTCTGTGTGCTGTTTGCATATGCAAAGCAATGCAGCCGCCTTAGCACTATCTGAATATGCATAGCCAGCTACCTAGGTACTATGTGCATATGCATAGCACAAACATCCCCATGCATGTTAATTTGTTATCAGAAAGTACATTTTAGTTCAGTACTACATGATATAAAATTTACAAAAAATACAAATTAGGTCTATATTCATAATAATTACAATTCAATAAAAACATTCTTACTTTTTGACTTTGAGGCAGGACAGTATCGGTTCAACAAGATATGATAATTACAATGTCTGTGAAAACAACATGTTAAATTTTAGTTAGATCAACATTTCAAATTGAATGAATACTTTCGGTTTATTAATTTTGTTTATTTTATTATATTACAAATTATTATTTTAAGTTTATTGGTGATTATTGGTGATTAGTGATTAGTAGTGCTTAGATGGTTTTATTGTATATTTAACAGCATTGATTTGTTATAACACAGTCACTATGTGGAATACATTTGATTGTCGATGACTTTACATAATAATCTTTATTGCATCCTTAGATATACAATCTTCTTATTAGTCTACAGCAATAAGGTAATAAAAGAAAGTTGAGTTAGTTAATAATAAGATAAAAGTAATACCGGTAGTTAATGAAAGTACCGATAGTAATGATTTTATAAGGAATTTTTATTTCTGATTTCAAAAGATCTGTAAATATACTTTCCTACTTGTATTTAAGCGAGAGGGCCATCATCTGCGCATGCACGGGAATCGACTCCCAAGCGCCGATAACAACACACGCTAAAAAAGCAAAGGTTCATGGGTAGACGCTTGTTTATAAACAATGACACGCTATGGCCATCTGACGCATGCGCAGGTGACGACTCCCCCGCTTTAATAACATTTTGGTTATTATGATATGATATACTATACAGTGCAATGACATATGGTCAATACAGTGTGATGACTTGTGACACCGTTTTACAACCTCCTACTTTTGTCACCTTTCACAGAATGGTGATACTTAATTCTGTTAAAAAAAGGATTTAAATCTACATTCATAAATAATATCGAATTCTGTCATAGCAAGATACATACCGATGTTTTTGTAGAAGTCTAATCATCAATTTTTTCAACTCTAAAAATCTTGGATGCATTCTTTGTACCTGGAATGTTTCAATTATTTACAGATTTATATGCAATTATTAGTGATTAGTTTAAAACTGAATAAAATAACAAATTTGTGCACAAAATTATAGTAGCAACAGGGGTGTTAAAAATTGCTCTATGATATTCAGAAATTCAAATACCCAAATACCAAGAACAGCATGAGAAACACGGCAAAACAAGACAGCATATGTCAATGTTAAGAAAAGAAAATGTAATTGCTGTTTTATTAGAAAGTTATGTTTTTTCATATTTTCTGACTGGTTTGTTACATGTATGTGTTGGAATAAGTTGGGTCAAGCTAACCTCAGCTGATTACGTCAAAATAACACTGAAGGAGACAATGACATTTATTTTGTCCTGTCATATAACTAATACTTGACAAATGCAAAAGAGTTGTGAGCAAACTAAACAAAATATCAGGATGAAGTTACCAGTAGTTGGCCAATTGTGAATATGTAGGTGTAACTATTGAACAATATTCAGTAAGACAACAGTCGTTGGTGGGAATGAAAATTGTTTCATTTTGTAGATTCAGTCGGTACTATACTCAGTTGTATAATTTCGTTTTTATTTGTTCAAATTTATAACAACATCACAGGGATTGCGTTAACCCCATATTTTGCTTCCCTGACTCCAATTATTGAAGAGGGAGCCAGTTTTTCAGGCATGCTGGGGTCCAGTCTCTAATAAAGTTGTCCAGGGTCAAATTTCAAGAAGTGAGACTCGTCTTGCTGACCAACTAGCGCAAACCCTGACATCATGAGTTTCTATTCATATAACAGTTATTTAAAACTAACAAATTATGAATTCATCATTATTAAATAGTTATTTTTGTATAATTCTCACCTTTTTGTTCTTTGTCTTTTTGTACAACTTCTCTTTGGTATATATTGAGGACAATAGATTTAAAGCACCACTTATAGATGCATTATATTCACTTAATTTAACTAAAAACAAAAAAAAATCCAAAAGTATTCTATTTGACGAGCATTCAAAAATAAATCAATGAAATAAATTAAATTTCAATTTTCTGCTGTGCTTGGAAAGACAAGCAAAATGAGAACTGAATGCATAAACATGAGGAACCCAGATGTTATGAAGCTAACACAGATGTGTTGTGACCAACCCAGATACCCTTGGTCCAAGATACCATGTTCCTCATAAAGTCCTGTGAATTAATATTAATTATAAATAAATTACTTACATGACTTTGGAAGTTTTTCTTTTGTTGTTTTAG